CGGATACTACGCATGTGTAAGCATCTTTGAATCTAAACAGGTTGGATCACAACCAAACAACGTGACCAAACGGGGCTATCATCCATTATGCATTATGCCGAATCAATCACCACCGACAATTCGTGTAGCCCGTTCCGTTAAATGGTTTAACCGAACTAAATCCGGGACCGAGTGCTTTCACCCAGAAGACGAGTTAATAGTATTATGTGAGGCAGAGCCTTTTCAAATATTCTGCGAGAAAGCCGATTATTTGGCCAATGGCTCACGTTTGTTAGGCACAAAATTTCATGGACATTTTATTGTCCCAGAGCCCGGGTATGGTGTACGAAAGACACACTTGAATCCAAGAGAAATGCCATTCCGACCGCCTTTCGATTTGGTGATGAAACACTTTAGTGTCAAGTATCAAACCTGGACTTTACGGCTCGCACCGGAGTACGACGGGTCATATGTGATCTGCGCAATTTATCCAGAGCTGGTTTCACCACCATTCGGAGTACCGGACTACTCGAACTGGTTAGGAAAGGAATTGTTAAAATACGGAGCGAAAAGGTTGCGCCGGATCTCAAAACCACTGCAACTATGCATTCAACATTTTACCAAACCTGTTCGTATTTATCCGGAGCCGAAATCGCACTATTCTCGGCCGTTTCGACTTCTCAGTCTTGTCCCGCAACAAATGATCACCTGTCGAGCGACTCATGTACCTATGATCTATCCGAATCTTTCTTTTTATCCTATAATTGATGGTCGTGTTGAAAAGGCGCTGATGCATGGACTGAATCAGAGTCAATTTTGGTTGGATCAGAAGAAGATGCCTGTACAGTGGACATCTATACCTAAACCGAATGAAATGCGTGTACTGATTNTACTGATTCCGGGGGATGAAAATGTGATTGGAATCTACTATGTTCTTTGTGTTGCAGGAAATTTGACAATGTCAGAGGTGAGCTAAAAGGCAGTGAAATCTTTCGCATAGATGAAACATCTTTTAATACATGAATAATGTAGCGATTTTTTGTTATATTGTAAAAGTAAATTTATTAGATGTTAATTTTACGTATTTTCGTCATCCGAACTGCTTCTTGGTGTTTGTAATGAAGTACAAATATGGTAAAAACAAACTTTAGAACCCCGAATAAAAATAGTTCAATTATTGCTTGAAACGAAAAGTTACTAACTTGTTTCGATCCATAAAATTCTCTCACAGGAGCGAATGAAAGATATGGATTTCTCCGGATTTCTGCTAAAGTCTTCCATGATCTCTTTCAATTTCGATAAAAATAATGAAATAACTGCTTGCAACACTGGTGGAAAGGCAGATGTGAACTTAATTATCAAACAGTTATTAATTTTGGAAAGGATAATCTGATATACTTCAAAGAATCTTGTGAATCATCATATCTGGACTTGCATTTGCCTATATGCCCATGATAAGTAGATGGACCTCTCACTCCTCACAACTGAAGTTTCTGGGTTGGCTGAACAGTGATTCTGCGATACAAGTAGCAAGAAATGCAACAGCAACTGGGTAATCACTGTCGTTTTTAAAAATCTCAATGGTTCGTACGATACGTATGTTTTAGCAGACCGGTAAGTTAGTGTTAGATTAACTCCCTGAAGTTCTATAGAATTTTACTCCGAAATTGCCTACAAGGATCTTGAAAAATCTGTATTCATCGATTTCATTGCACACAGAAAATGTTGACTGTAATTGAGATTCTATGGTGAAAGGTGGCGCTGATTAGATGGTGCAAAATGAAAACTAAAAGGAGTTGTCTAGGGATATTTGAATATAGTGATGATATTTCCACTTAGCCCTTTTGTGAAGCAAATTAGATTTGATCCGTAAGACGTCATAACCATCATCTTTTGGTTATCTCACTTTATGAATAAAGGACAAAAATACATGGGTTGATAAAAAGCTAGATTATAGTTCTTGAGAGAGGTATTTCTGTCCTGGTTATCGTAATACAACCATGACTTATCAAAATCGTAACGGTGTATATATATCATAATGGGAATTTATCACCATAGAAAATCTGAAATGTTTAGTGCATTCACTGATGAACCTCACGCTTACTCACTGTGCTTTTTCTTTTTATGGTTGGCCAATAAAGAAAAACAAAAGAAAAACGATTCTTATGGAGCATTACCATAATAAACACTATCTTTATCTAGTTTCCGCTTCAGTTTGTACAACTATTGACCATGCACTTTCTTGCGCCGGTTTTGGTTGCTGTCTTCTGGCTGCTTATTTAGCTGAAGCAGTATCTAAACTGAACATGCAACCTATTGTCACTCATTATTAACCTGCCTTGACTGGATCTTCAAAATCAAATCAGTATGGTCGGGGTGGGTGTCTAGGGTTGCGGCTGGTCACCCTCCCTTGCACTCCGCGAAATGATCCCATACGGCCAAGCGTCTCGAATAGTCTCTGCTGAGGAAGGCCTACTCACAGCCTTCTAGTGGCAGAGGTGTTTNACCCCGTCTTATGAGCGTATGATCGGATGAACTCGACACCGGCCCCCAATGGATTGCGGTTTTCGCACACCGCCCGCTGCCTTGTGGGTCAGCCTTTGACTAGCCAAAGGTTCCGGCTGTGGATTCCTCAAGAAAAGGTCTGTGCAACCTGGCGGGATTCTGACCACATGCAAATCATGGAACGTTTTTCTTTTTTTCATAAAGATTATTGTACCGCGATTTGTTTGGCATAGACTGCATTCAGATGTGTGTGAAATTATTATTATTTATTAAGGGATGATATAGTTTATCAGTCTTGGTTCCACTGAAGATACAGTTTAGGTCACGTTTCGGAGCACAGAGGCTGATCGTGTCAAGATACATAGCGCATAAGTGGAAGCTCAAACTTTCAGAGCCTAGCTATGTAACAATATTTCGGTTGATTTGACGTCTCCGGTTGCGTCACTGAATTTGCAAGCCATTTCTCTATGTGCTCTTACACTGGTTGAACCAAACAACTGTCCCTTCTGCTATCACATCCGTTGCCCATTCCAAAATTCTTAGCGACGTGGTGCTTAAAAGATTCAAATGAACCATCAGATGAATTGAACCATATCTCAGTAAGTTTCCACAAGATTCTCTCTAATAGTGTCTACTCCTCTTTTAAAATGTACCACTTCAGTAAACATTTGACTGTTTATTTATATTTATTTCTACTTGAAAATCACTTGACCATTTCGTTCGAGTATATCAAAGATTCAACCCTTTTATAAGCAGAAAACATCTTTTTCAATTTTGAAGATAACCCACACGAAAAGGTAATTGTTTAGCGATTAGAACTCACCTAGGTTCCACATTTTAGGAATAATCGAAATTCGACTGTCAGATAATATTTGGCAATCACTCATGCAGCGCTATGTAAAAGTTATAACACTTAGGGCTGGGAATTATTATTTTTCATTATTATTGACTTTTCCCATCAGTACCTTGTTATGTTTCACGAAGCTAGTGCTTAGATTGGCGAGATACGACGCCCGCCACAAAATCATAAATATGGGTTGTACTTTATTGTGTCTGAAAATAAGGAAACTGTCCGGTCAGCTGACCGGTGACCAAGTGGGTGGTATGCATGTGTTTAATTCTCAGGTCCCGGGTTCGATCCCTAAGTGGGTTAGTGGGTTTGCGCTTCTGTTAAGACCTAATCAGGTCCATAGGGTTGTCAGCACTTCCTAGCTTTCCAGTTCACGCCTCGTTTTATCTATGCACGACGAAACTCTGTTATAATCTCCTGGATAACTTGATGACTAGGTGTGCCAATGACATCTTGCAAATCCATCGCAAAGTAACCTAGAGAAAACGATGCAATTCTTAAGATTCTTCACAATGGCCTTGCAACTCACATTGGTCATGACTTGAGTTCACAAAGTATGGAAAATAAAATAGTCAAAGATTGAGAGTTCTCAAAGCAGAGGAACAAAAGCGGGCCCGTACCAACTGTTGAGAAAAAGTAGTTCATGCTACTCTTTCTTTTTTCTTTGGATGAAACAAGTTAGCACATTGACTGGATTTTGTGCTACTCCGATCATCCGAACGATTGGTCAGTTAACCGAAAATGCGTGCACGACGCAACGCGATTGACTGTTACTCAATGATCGAAATGGGTATACGCCATGGTGTGTGCTCATTCGATATGCTCCACGCGCGGCAGGGAACCGTGCAGACTAAAACTCATGAACCTTCCAATAATTGAACTTTAGGAACAAAATATCCATATGCGAATAAGGCTTTTCGTAGTTGTTAATTACTTTTCTGCAGAATTAGAGCCGTTTGCACTCTCGTAATCAACAGTAGTCTAATCGACACTCACCTTAAATGATGTCCCGGGGCTAACTGATAGATCACGTCCAAGTAGTGAAAAATCAATACACTATTGGTTGGTCCATTACTCTTTGGAATCTTGGTACACGCCTGACTGAATTCAACCCTGTGGAAGTCATCTTCGGTGTTAATGCACCCGAAGCTAGTAGGCGATACACCATCACAGATGAGAATGCTGAACTTAATACCACACGAACGGTTAGGCGCAAGTTTAAATTGTTTAAAGCACTGATATTGTTGATGACGGGAAGCGCACTGACCGAGCTTGCAAAACAACGAATTCCGTAAACAATTTTCGTGCACTCCAAGCTATTAAAGGTTGTCTTACCAAAAACTTCCAGAAGCTACGACAAGAATGACATTTATTTATTGCACCTAACTATGGAAATCTCGAGAACAGGCTACAAGCTAATTTGAAGAACGTCAGCTGCAACAGTTCAGATTGAACGATTTTGTACAAAACGTTCACTTTGCTCTATGACTGCAGCAAATGGATGCTCGTGAGACTTTGTCCACCAACGAAATGTTATATCATGTGAATGGAAGATTTTGAAAACGTCACTATTGGACAGTTGTGAATTAACGACGGTTTGTTTGCTGTCGCAACTGCAGTAGCTCAAAGCTCTTTGTAAGGACCAATATAATTGCTGATGAAAATATTGGCCCATACCTCCTTAGTAGTGGTAATGTCAGTTAGGTTAAATCTGTTCAGTATGTTTGATGAGTGAATCACTGTACCATTTAATGTTTGACTCGAGGAAATATTATTTTGTGTTGGAAAATTTCCATTTAGGAAACAATCGGTTTGAACTGAGACAGAAAAGCGGTGGTTGGCTCTGCTTTCGTCCGTAGCATCTCACTGATGAATTGGCTGCATGCTTTTTCCAGGCCCTAATTGACCACAGGTCTCCCGACCTTCTTTAAGTTTTGAAATCAGACAGACCACAGTCTCGCATCTTGTCGCGTTCGGAGATCGATTCGGTGGGCCGGTGAAGCCGTGCGATTTGTGCGAAACAGCTAAGCTGACTGCAAATCAGCAATCACAAGTGACAACGCAATGTTTACTGCTAGCTGGTTGTAGATGCTCGGATAATGATGATGCCTCAATCACTAAAGTTCAGTGCTTACAGTATAATCCGAGCTGTGCACATTTCATTACCTGGATCATGGGCCTAATCAAACAAAAAAATTTGTTGAAAGACTTGGATCGTAGTTATTTGAATGGACTGGGCTGTTTTTCAATAATGGCCTGGCAACCACAAGCAGTTGTGCTACTTACGCTCGTCTATTCCTGACCCCATAATCAGCCGAAGTGAAACAGAAAAAAGTCAGTTCGTCTGATTATAACCTTCATTGTTAAAATTCAAATTGAGTTAATCACCATACTCAATTTGTTACCACTTTTATAAGTTCACAAGGCGGTATCTGGAAGAGGATAGTTGTTTATTATGAATAACGGTCGGGAATCGGTAAATTGACATACAACAAAATGTTGACAAAATATTGAAAATCGGTTGTCGTAGCTCGGGTGAACTGAATTCCATTTCGCCTGTTCGCCGAGCTCGGTCTACCGCAAGGCAACACATACAGATCAAATTCTAAACTTCAAAAGTAATCACCCGCACAGCCACAAACGGTGCTGCGTTAAAACCCTGTTTGAAAGAATCCAAACGAACTGCAGCACCGACATACTCAAGAAGAGAGAAGAAAGATACCTCCTCAAAGTGTTCGCTCGCAATGGCTGCCCCCGCAACTTCAGCAAAAGAACTCTGGCTCAAAGAAAGAAGGAAACAACAGACGGAGAATCGG